ATGTTTGATAAAAACATATATATATATATATATAATGTTTGATAAAAACATATATATATATATATATATAATGTTTGATAAAAACATATATATATATATATATATATATATATATATAATGTTTGATAAAACATATATATATATATATATATATGTTTTTATCAAACATTATATTGCCCCGTTGTGAATAATGTCTTATTTTCTGATGAATCATTAAACATTTTTTTCTTAAATTAATGATGTCTTAAAAGCCATCACATTAATAAAGTCATCTGGTTGACAGATGATTATGTATGATGTTTGTTATCATATTCAAAATTGTCAACTCAGGGCTGCATGTACTGTTCACTCCTACATGCTCAAAACAAGAGTAAATGCCCAGCCCCTAAAACAAACCCTGTTATATGAAATAATATGGATTTAAGTCCAATTACAATTTTATTTAATCACCAATAACATAAATTTAAAAAACAAAATTATTTATAATTGTGTATTACCTCACAACAGAAGCCCTAAGGACACACACACACACACACCATTTCCATTACAATGTCATCAGAATCAGTTTTATTGCCAAGAAGGTTTACAAATACAAGGAAATTGCTTTTGTATTTTGGTGCATAAAAATCAACACAGTAGGTATAAGACAGATAAAGCAAGTCTTGCAGTTCAACAAGCTAAATATAAAATAAATTCACAATACGTTATAAAAATATAATACAAAATCTGTAGAATATGTATTAATATGTCATTATATTCAAGTCATAGTCACTGACTTCTAGAAATTCTAGATACTTTTTAGGAAAGTCTACTCAGCATTGCCACTATCAGCACGGCACAATAAAAAGTGAAGTAGTACAAATATGATAAGCAAGCTGCAGGTTTTACAGCACATGTAGCTTATCAGTGTATCAGCATGTGAACATAATTCTACTGTCTGCAGACTTATGCTATCCTTTAGATTGCAGCACGTCTAAAAAACTGCATGTTTTTTTTATGTTGCTGTAATTGTCATAAACAAATGAGATTATTACCAAGAAGATTAATAGAATGTCAGTTTCCAACTGAAATGTGTACAATGCATAGAAGGGTCTGAATCTGTCGGAAGTCTGCTGAATTGCCTGAGGCCACAAAAAGGAAAAGGCACCTTTTCTCCACTGACATGATCAACATTTCAGGAGGAAGCTAGAAGCAGAGACAGAAATTACTTGATTATACAAACAAAATGGGTATGTTGCAGGTCCTTGTTTTGCTCTAAGACGCTTATTCGACTGTGATAGAAAATGCTTTACAGGAAGCCATTGTGTTTATTGTTAAGAAAATCTAAATGATGAAAAGAAAACCATCACCAGAGGCACTGGTGTTAGGTAGAAGTTGTCAATAATTGTATTCATGGTATGATTTGTATAGTACTTACATGAACATATGTCAGTTAATTGATCAAGAATACAAATTTGATAATTTTATAGCACCAGCTATGTTGGTCTAGATAGGTCTCCAGTATTGTCAAAAGGTGAACAAACTAGTCGTTCAAATATAAACTCAAGTATTCCCCACTGCAGCACCAAAGTGTTCACGAGCAAGACACTTAACTCCTAGTTGCTCCAGGGTGGAGGTGTGCGACCTCTGACATATATAGCAACTGTAAGTCGCTTTGGATGAAAGAGTCAGCTGAATTACTAAATGTAATGTATGGAAAACATTACATGTGAGTTAACATGTGCGTTAATACGATTTTTAATGGTTCATTGTTTGTCTCTTATGTTGTTTTGGTTATGTTACCCTCTGTAGAAAGTAGTAAGGGTACTGTGTGAAGTATCCTGTAGCAATAAAGTGAATAAAAATACACATGCCACACATTGAAAAAAAATGAAAAGGGCATGTTATTGCACCTCAATCAAGTTGAACCTTGATTTCAGTGCCATGTGCCTAAATATTGACAGAGGATTATAGAGTGGAGCATTGCCCTTCACTCTGTGTAATGTAAAGACAGACAGATCAATATTTGAGGAGTTTGTGCTGCTTTTACAGCTGCAGTGACTGCTTGTTACTAATCATGTGAAAGATTAAATGTACATGTGTGCCATGGAGAAAGGGTCAGCAAGTTTTTATGAAGAAATTTAACACTATTTTGCAACATGTATGGAGTTGAACTTAAGTTTATCTAATCCTTTCACATAAGGACAGTATGAAACCGTACTGGATTACCCATTACAACACACTGAAGCGCTATGTAGTCTAGTAAGCAGAAAATAGATTAAGTCGGAATTGTTTCTGAAATTAATGTAATTTCCTTGCGGAAACAGAGGATAAGATAAGATTAAGTCAGACTGAAGGATAAACACATTGCTTGTCCCATGATGATACAAAGGTTTTTCACAGTGTTTTCACGTGCTAATAAAATCTTGAATTCCAGTAATCATGAAAAGAGGAACATTTTACATTTTGGCACAAAATCGATTCATGGGATGAGGTATTTCATCATAAAGTCAAAAGGTGAATTGCTCTGAGTTTGTTTGATGTTTATTTCAACATAAAACATTGTTTAACTAGTAACAGTTGGTTACCAGTTTCAAACTGATTGATGTTTATAAAGAAACAAATCCAACACTTTGCTAAGAAACATGCATAATTTTTTTAGCTTGAGAGCAAAAGAGAACATATTAGATACAGTATGCGACCGGTGTTTGTGTATGTGGTTGTATACATGTTTATGTGTTTGTGTATGCATGAACATATATCTGTGTAGATAAGAAAGCAAGCACAAAGACGAAATGACAGAACATCACACCACTACATCCAAATACAGAATACTCTTTAGTAATTGGCTAGAAAGGGACTGTGACCGTAAACACCCCTAGCACAAATAAATAGACCTGTTATCATGTAATGCCCACCCCATCACCTAAGTTCAAGCTTTAGGACTACAGTCCCGGCAGAGTGGAGGGCTGTCGGTGGCCTCTAGTGGATCATCATGTCTTTGCAGAATAACACAGAAATTGTCCCTCTCCCTGCCTTATTCCTGCACATAGTTCCTACATCAACAACAGTGTCTCATGTTCAATTCCAGCAGCAACCATTGTGTCCTGTTGTGTCCATGAGCAAGATTTAATACATTTAAATCCTTGCTTACTCCTTGCTTACTCGATTTAAACTTCTGTCCTGGCTGCATCAGAACATCAACTTGATGCCTAATACTGCAAATATATAAGATGTCAAATGTAACAGCAGATTCAGCCAAATGTAAATTATGTCACATATGATGATATTTGATTTAATATCCTACGTGTATCTTAATTTTACTGGTCCACTACTATGACTGCACTTTCTTGATGAGCTTTTAATTTAGGAAAGGAAAGGTAAAATAGACTCTGCTGGAGGGGAAACTGTCTAGAAAGAACATTTACAAAAACTTAACTCAAGGTCCACTTATTAGTTTACAACATCCTACAGTCTTCAGTATACAGAGATTGTTCAGTTGCCATGGAGATTTGTTTTTGTGTCAATACTTAATATCTTCCAAAGAATTTCCTCAAGAATCCTAGGAATTTAACCTAAGATTGTATGTTAGTTATGATGAAAGTTAGAGATCAACATTTAGATCATCAAGGTCCACTTGCTAGCTTTTTCCGGAGATTTCAACTCATCTCACTATCAGATAAACCTATTAAGTGCATGTAGATTCAGTCAAGTTTTTCTTTTTCCCCTTTTTTGGGGGTCAAACTGAAATTTACAATCAAATTGATGTTCTGTTGTGTTAACATGTTGTTTTATAATATTCAAAAGGGTTTGACCAATAATGGCTACATGATTATTCTTAATCTGGTAAATTGCCCCTCACAAATGTGTTAAAGCAATACTTCAAGGGAGTCACAACTGTGGTTTTCATCTGCATTACAGGCTTGTGACTTGTGCAGTAAGTTGCAAATTGGCAATAACAACAAAAGCAACCTCAGACTACTTTATCACTGCCTTGGACCCCCCACCAGACTGTATTGTACTCACTCTTAGGTAGAGATAAACACTCCACGTGCTTATAGAAACAGGTGTCAAGCTTCAGGAAGACACACACACACATACACACACACACACAGTTAATAATTTATCCACTCACTGAAATGCTGACATACACACCACTCTGCCTGCAGTGTTACTTTAGCCTACACAATAGAGGTTGGTTTCATAGTATTGATGGATGAGTGTACATCTTCAGATAGAGACTGAGGGAGAAGTAATACTGGGAAAGATGAAATTAGGTTATAACTTCATTATGTAATAATGCTGCTTCTAGTGCAGCTAGTTGTGGCAATATAAATACATGTGTTTTTTTATTTATCAGAACACATTATGATGTTGTTGTTTGTAGGCGGTAATTAAAGAGCATGTCCAGCAAGGCTATAGTATGTTTTCAGCCCATGCTTCTCCAACAAGACAACACTTTCTGCACATTTCTCTGGAGGCTACATCTTAATAACAGGAATGCCAATAGCATCTTGCCTACAGGATGACATAAACCGCATCTTTTAGAATTGCTGTATCTAAGTTTTATTAAAGAATTGCTGTTTTCAGTGGACTTCTGCATGATAATATTTATGCTTGGTGCAGTTGCTGAGTGCTTCTCCCAGTAGGCTATCAAGATTTTCCCTCAAATGTGAAACGTTTATTTTAGATATTGTGCTAATAATAGTCTCCAGTGATAATTTTCCACAGGACGCTGCTGCGACTGTTTCTACGATGGAAGAAGCAGCGAGTGTGGACGGACCCATTCGCCTTTGCGGGGGGATTTGTAGTAACTCACGTAAACTACGAGCTGGCAAATCATCTTAAAATACCTTTTAAATAACACACACATTTATTTTGGACACATATCTTCTTCTTTATCAGGAAAAGTGCTGCCTCACTTCTCCAGCAGCCAGGCGACGACAGTTTAATCACCCTCAAAGAGAAAAGAAAACCCTTTGGTAGTAACTTGGGCAAGTCGGATGAAAACCGAGCTCTGTGCCACATCTTCCACTAAAATGATAAACCCGCTGCCGAGCCGGACAGACTAAGTGAGAACCTAGCTTATTCCTGTCAAACTTAACATCTTTTTTTCCACCTCTGAAATTGTCAGACGGCAGTAAAACTCACCCGAGATCTTGAATTGTTCTCGTCTATTTACAGTTTTATCAACAGGAGGAGGTGTTAGGTTAGACTACTGTTACGTTAACGGTTAAATTAGGCTGTATGTGACGTAATAAAGTGGGAAAGTGGACTTTTCAAACGGAACACTTCGGATAGAGGTAAGTTTAGTTTACATCACTTTATGAAAACTAAATACGTTGTTTAAAGTTGTCCAGTCTGCTCCACCATGGACTTCTGTAGCAGTTTCCCCAAGACAGAAGAGGTTGTTAAAAGGACTACACCCATACAGGACTAGCCTTAGCTAACTTACATCTCACCTAATTTACACCTCAGGGTGGAGATGTTAAAACCGTTTACTGTTTTTAAGTAACTTATTACCGAGTTGGCAGACTCAAAAATACAAAGTGAAAGTTTTGCAAGTAGCTTGAAACGTTACTATAAACAAATCCTGAAAGTGTAATCATTAATACAGTATTGCAAGTATGCACCACCACAAAAAACAAACAAACATAAATTAAACTTTAAAGAGCAAAGATCTGTGCTCCACCTTTTAGAGCAAACATTTGTATAAAACAAATGCTTCAATAACGTTTTCATATGATAATTAACTAATGTAGATGGGTGTGTGTGCAGTGATTGTTTTGTGTGGATGAATTTGTCATGTTATGATGATATTGTGTATATGTAATTTTTTCTCAGGTCTCTCTAACAAAATAAATCTTGATCTCAATGAGATTTCCTGAAAAAATAAAGCTTAACCAGCTAACTAACTATTTTTTAATCATTTTTAATCACAGCTTGCTTTAAGAAAGTCATTTTGGACAAGAGAAAATGTAGAATGATAATATTTTAACTTAATTTCATTGCTATATGGTTCTGCTGAAAGTTTAATGCAAATATTGAGTTATTGCCATAGACTGTTATTGCCCAGCCCTAAGAATATATGGCGTGAAGGTGCAAAAGTGAAGCTAAAAGTGTGTCATGCTTCTTTACCTATTTTTGTGGCATGCCATAATTACCAACCCACTAATTTCAACTGCTATTCCACACTGTCCTTACTGTGTTTAGTGTTTTGATTTTAAATCTCACACTTTTTAATAGCAAGACCAAAGCCAACATGTGAAGAGTGTGTATCCTATACGCCCACTCACCAGTTGAGAAACGTGCATCCTTACAAACTCACTGCTAAAATAAAAGCTCACAAAACAGAGTTGCATTCATTATTATTATTTCAGACAATAAAACAGTTTGCCGCCGACTGGACCATATCAAGCGATGAGTGTGACGCAGAAATCATTATGGGTGACTCTAAACAGAATTATTAAAATGTTTTTAAAACCAGCTGCAAACATTTGAAACAAAAGCACACAGAAAAAAAGGTTCTTGCTTCTCTTGAGTCTCCATATATCTCCTGCCCTGTGTGTGCCCCAGATTGATAGTTACACCACCTCCCTCTCATAAGCCTTAGCACTACTATCCTGTTGCCTTGACTACTGGTGTGTCAGGGGACTTCATCCTGATCCACCGCATGATTTTCTCTGACACTAGTTCACAGAGACTGGCACGAAGCAGCGCTGAAAGCGAGAATAAGAATAACTGGAGTGCTCATTTTCTCTTTTTCTTCCTCTTACACTGGGCATACTCCTAAGACACCTGATGCCGTCTTAGTTAACCAGCAATACACAGTGCTTCAGGCCCACAGTGCTGCTCCGCTCGTCCACTGCACGCAACAGGCTACACGCACCACTAAAATGGGAAGTCTTGTTTTCTTTCTGTTCACCGAACCATATCACTTAGTTTGTTGATTTACATTTCAGTCAAAAGAGGCGCGATTCAGAGAGCATGAAAAAATATTTTCCCTGTCGTGTTTAAGCAGAGCTGAGGATGGGAAATGTAGAGTCAGTGCTGTTTTTTTTTGGGGGGGGGGGTATCCAGTTGATAAACAAACTCTGTTTTAGGGCTGCAACTAACACTTATTGTTTTTATATTGTCATACTTCAAGTCATACCTCAACTTCATAGAATATTGTAAAATCTCCATTATAATTTCCCAGAGTGGATGGTGACATCTTTAAATACCTTGTTTTGTCCAACCAACAGTCCAGATATGAAGACTATACACGATTAATTTATTATCAAAATAGTTGCCAAATCTTTTTTTTGGTTTGTTTTACATTTTAATGTAAACTTTGACACCAGTTGTCTATTGTTTCCTCCACTCACTAACTGATGTGCTGTCAGAGGCATAATGAGCTCCATCAGCTGTGTGTCAAGCTTTATGGATGCACCACTGGGAGTTTGGCTACCGACCCCAGCCATGTGCATACATACGTATCTAAATATTCATCTCTCCTGTTATGACTATTTTCTTTGCTATACAAGAAGTAATGAGCATCTGGGAAATAAAGTATTTCTTTGTTGTGAAAAGCCATTACCCAGGAAATGAGGTGGGCCCAAGTATGGCAAACATCAGTGAAACTGGCCTGGTAAGAGCTTTATAGGATCTCCACTGTAGCCTTGGGGAGGGGGATACTTGATGCACTGGAACTGTGAAACAGTCTCATTAGGCAAGGACAGTGGACCATACAGAACAGGGACGGCTATGGGGTTTGGGGGACAAGGAGAGAGACTGTTGCTGTGTAATCGAGGGGAATTGCAAACACTGAATGCTGAATGGTGATCTCGGGGGACTGTTGTGTATCAAACACCGCCCGCAGACTGTGTTCAGTTTACAAACTTATTCTGTGACTCCAGCAGTCAAGCCACTGAGCGCGTGATTCTCTCTGCAAATGAGGTCACGTAGATGTCAGAGCAATATCTAGCAGCTATTTCTTACCACTTTTCAGAAGACGTTCCACTGCACTCAAAAAATGATACCAGAATTGCCCAGTTCCCAGCTGCGAAAACGCATTAAACATCCTGTGGAGTCTCAAATGCAGGCCTGTATGCATACTTAGATTTTTATGAGCACAAATAGAGGGAATAACAGCTGCCCACACCGGGCAACTGAGGCAAGCAGCAGTTTTCTGCAGCAGGTAATAAAGTGAACCAGCTGTTTTCTTGCTTCGTATCAGTTTAAAACAAAAGTTAACTGTTAACTCTTAAGACTTGCCCAGAAATCCTTGTTTCTGTTATGCTGAAAAGAAAATCATAACATAGAGTAAGCCTTACATTACAACCACAACTTTATCAGTGGGATTCAAGTTTAGTTTTAGGCTTTAATGAGCATATTTCAGAGGTCAGTGGAATCTGTAAAAGTTATTTGCGACCCAGAATATTTGATTAGTGTGTTTGCATTATCTTAACTAACAACCCCCTCCATAATTACGTTCACCTCCTCTTGGAAGTTAACTCTTAATTTAGCCTCAGAGCTTTTTTTAGACAACATGGCAGCACTTTTCAGTCTTCCAGCCTGGAATCTTCATGTGGCTTTGTGTGTTTGAGAGAAGTAATAGCAACGCCCATATTTATGTCTGCTCCAGCTCAGCCTGCACACTGAGCTGTCCTGGAAAAGCCCATGTGACCCAGAGCTAAAGAGGCGCTGCCGCTTCCTCATCCTGTTGTATGTTAGAGCGGAAGGACAATGGTCAGGACTGCAGTGTGTGATTTATATCATAGCAGAGTTCAAACATAGGCAGCGGACAATGATATTATATTCTAAAAGTGAGCATTGCTTTTTTATCCCAGTGGGTCACTGGGATAAAAAGCACATGCTTTTGCTCTGTTTTAAACCAATATCATTTGTGTCAGATTATTATATTATAGCCATGGTAGCAGCATGACTTTAGGAGTAACAGTGTTGGTCGCTCAGTCCACCACTCCAGACAGAAGTATTAACAATTATTTGATGGACTGCCATGACATTTTGTACAGACATTCACCGGGCCCAGAAGATGAATCGTACTTACTTACTTAAAGCTCAGAGCTTTCTGTTTATCAAGTAAAATATCTACCTGATGGATTGGCACAACATTTAGTACAGACAATCTGGAATTAAATGTCATAGCAATGAAATATTATGGTACTTTCATTTTTAAAATCTAACCACCACACGGGTTGAAAACATTTTAAGCCTCAGTGCCAAACCTTTATGGAACTGCTGTTCCCTTTGCTGATTTCATAATGTGTACGAAACTAGGGTAAGAAATAAACTGTAATAATGTGTTGTGCATCTGGTTTCATTGATTTATTTTCCATCCATAAGTCTGAGTGACATTGTAAAGAGTCATTAGCTAAACCCGCCTGCCTCTCATGTAACTCTGTGACTTTTTGACGATTCATAAAACTGCAGGAAATTATACCCGTGTGACAAGTATGAGACGTGAGGGTGTCTGTGTGTAGAAAAGACCCCATCCACATTCACACTGCTCTCATTTGTTCTACGCCAGATAGAATCATCCTGGTGCCAATAACACAGGAGCGATTTCAATAATTGAAAGAGAGAGAACAGGGGGATAATAAATCTTTCCTGCTCAGATAAATTTGTTATAGGTAACTCAAGTGGAGGTGTTATTCAGAAGGATTATTATGTAATTGAACCACAGGTATTAGCGAAGCGGCTCACATAGTATAGATGGAAATAGTTTTTCTTTCTGTGTGTCATACTTTTTCCATTCTTTCTTCCTCCCTGCCCCCACACATCTCTCTTTCTGTCCCTCCCACTCACACACTTTACCAGATACATGTTGTAAAAGATTAGCTCAGCCATCACGTGTTTTTACTTTTCAAATTATTTTGTTATATTCTGACCATGCTGATCTTTGTCTCTTTCTTTCTGCTCCTTTCTCTTTCCTTCTTTTCACAAAAGGGCACAAGCTGAAGGTGACCTGGGCTGAATAATTTTGAAAAAATATCTATTTGTGATATGATGATTTGCATCAAGGAATAATTTTTTACATAATTGTTCTAATTTTCATTGAAAAACATTAAAATTAATTATGGTTTGATTTTTGCCTTTAACAAATATTGCACCTCCTATGATTTAAAAATTGCACTGGGCCATATTGCGATTTTGATAAGATTAGATTAATTATTTAGCCCTATGGTGACCCTGCTGTTAAACATCTGATGAGATACAGATTTTAGACGGCTAATACAAAAAATATTTGAGGTTGTTTAGTAGGATATGCAGATGGATTTCATTTGCTGATGCAAAAGTGGGTGGATAGCACTGTGACAATGTGACAATTAAGTATACCTTACCTTACCTTACCTAGCTTGCGACCAACAGGATAAATCTGGGTGTGGAAAGTAAAAATTTACCACCACTGAAGTGCCCTTGAGCAAGGTCTTTAACCCCAACAGCTCCAGTGGAGCTGCTCAGTGGCCAGCAGATCAGACTGTGGTTGTTGAATGTGATCAGGGTCTTCCTGCAAAAGAGAGGCTCCCTCCCAGTTAAGCTCCCCTAAATAAATAAAGATTCAAAAAATAAAACCACTTTTCCTTTGCTGACAAAACATATTAAACAGATATTTTATCCTGTTATTTAAGAAGAAATGTCTGCCCCCACCACCCATTATTAACCCATGTTTGCCTCGGCTTCGTCGGTGGGTTGCATGCACAAAGTGTCCCACCTAATACCTTTTATGTTGTTATTGTTTAATTCTGGATGTGTTGTTTTTATGCATCCTCATATCTCCAATCATGAATACCCCGGCAAACATGAATAAACAGATTTAACAGATTAACGCCATGGAAACAGGATTTAGACAAACCACAGAAACGAAAGGTGAATAGGCACAGGTGGTCAAATGCTTCAGTGTCCTTGTTTGCATTGGTATGTATTTATTTTTTTGGCATAATTTGTGTTTGTCTTTAATCAGTGTAGACTATGAACTCCGCCTGCTTAAAATCAATTAGAATATTCGTTTTCACGTCGAGGTGGGGGATTATTGTCGAGGTGAATGTCTGGCCTCCTCGGTAACAACAGTCAGTATCAGTCTGACCTTTCACAAAGTGGCTTTATTGAGAATTACAATGCCCCAGGACACTTGTCCCTCCACCATGTAGTGAAGGGTCGATAAATTATCACCGTGCCAGAGGATTCATACTGTATCCACGGAGACCAGGCCACCCCCACCACACACACACCCGCACACCCGCACACACACACACACACACACACACACACACACACACATATTATAACTTCATGACGTCTGAGCTGTTGTCTTGTGTCTGTTTTTCTCCTGTGTGGACTCTTAACCGTCTAGATTTATCTCGCAGCACATGTTTTATGACAAAAAGCTGCAAGCTGAGAGGAATTATTGAACCAATTAATAATTTATGATATTCAGGCAAGGAAATTAATGAGGGTTGTTGCTGTCCTGCAGGAGCAGAGAAAACGGAGCAGTCAGCGACGTGGGGAGTAAAAGCACAGGGAGAGAGGAGAAGTGAAAGGAGAAGGTACAGATACCAGCCCAGCGATCTGCCTGCCTGACGGTGCTGTGTCATGGGGAAACAGAACAGCAAGCTGCGGCCCGAGGTCCTGAACGACCTGAGGGAAAACACAGAGTTCACCGACCACGAGCTGCAGGAGTGGTACCGCGGCTTCCTCAAGGACTGTCCCACCGGCCACCTGACTGTGGAGGAGTTCAAGAAGATCTACGCCAACTTCTTTCCCTACGGAGATGCCTCAAAGTTCGCTGAGCACGTCTTCCGCACATTTGACACCAACGGGGACGCCACCATCGACTTTAGAGAGTTCATCATCGCCCTGAGTGTGACGTCCCGCGGCGGGCTGGAGCAGAAGCTGCGCTGGGCCTTCAGCATGTATGACCTGGACGGGAATGGGTACATCAGTCGGGCAGAGATGCTGGAGATAGTTCAGGTGAGGACACACTGTGTGATTCAGAATAGGGTTTCTTTATAAATGAAAATGCTGTTTATACCAGACACTTCAGCCTTACCCTGACATTAAAAGTTAGATGATATTATACACTGGTTATTTAATGTTTTACTAGTTTTGCGTCATCAGAATTATATGTCTAATGGAGAAGAATCTGATCCTAGAACGGTTAGATAAAAGGAAGATACCTAATCAGTTTCCTTTGTGGTACATTTTAAGCCACAACTATATTACAAAATAACAAATGGAATGTATTCAACACTAAAGATTAGTGTAAAATATTACTAGTAGTAGGGCTTCAACTAACGATTACTTTCATTATTGAGGAATCTGACATATAATGTCTAGATAAATCGATTAATTATGTGGTCTATAAAATGTCAGAATATAGTGATAAATGCCGTCACAACTTCCTTAATCCCAAGGTGATGTCTTCTAGTGTCGTGGTTTGTCTGACCAACTGTCCAAACCTAAACATATTCAGTTTACCATCACATAAAGACAAAGAAAAGTAGCAAATCCTCACATCTTAGCAGCTGGAATTGAGGATTATTTAATATTTTTTTAATTGCTGAAAAAGTTAATTAAAATTGTTGCCAATTAATGATTAATACACTATTTCAGTGCTAATTGCTTGAGTTGTGTGCATTTTAGCTTCCTGTCTAATGACTGTTTTTAGGCTTAACAGTAATTTGCAGGTCATAAGGTATTTTCACCTCACATCCTGGATGCAGGCTGCCCTTTCTGTTTTTTCTTATCACTATGGCTATATTTACTCTTCCAATATGGTGAGCTGGGCAGCCTGCAGGGCCATATCAATATTGGCTCAGTATGCTGTGTTTGTGGATACAAACGAATGGTAAAAAAAAGAAAAACACTGAAAAGCACCAGTGCTTTTGTTCCTGCAGAATGCTTTCTGATTTTCAGCAAAACTTCTTTCTCTTTCTCTTCTTTCTCTCTCAAATCCACAGAGCTTTACATGATGTGAAATGTGTATATAGTTTTTGAGGATGCAAATGGAGACATTATAGCACTGTGAACATAACAGCAAGATGAGCTCTAGTTGCTAGAACACCATCATTACCAGGTAGCAACAGAAAACAGGTCAAAGCATTCAGATGAAAGATGTAACTCATTTTTGTTATTTTTCATCTCTACTGCCTGAAAGCTTCACACAGACAACCAACCACATTAATATGCACATAACAGCCATCGTGCCTACCCTCCTTTGTAGGCAATTTACAAGATGGTGTCATCTGTGATGAAGATGCCTGAGGATGAATCAACACCAGAGAAAAGGACAGATAAGATCTTCAGACAGATGGACATTGATAATGATGGTAAGACTGGTGATTTATTTGTATGTGCTTTTGTGAAGAGTTTGTTGCAGACCCAAAGTCCTTGCCAACACTTCACTTAAAGTTTCTCTGTTTAGCTTTTAAAGGCTTAAAGGTTTTTTAATAATTGTGAAAAATGTATGCATTTATCAACAACTAAAACTCCTCCTGTGGGTACCCATAAGTGGCTAGTGCATAAACAGATGCACAATATACTTAAAAACAATTGTAATAATATAAAATATGTCTAATAGAAGTTATAATTTCTGACAAACGTACATTAATAAACACTTAAAATGTCTTTATATCTCTTTACAACTACATTATAGTCTGTCAGAACTATTCATTAAATGTTTGTTTAAGCCTTATAAATGCTAAAGAGGGGGAAGCATTACCAAGTTCTTTTTATAGCTACTTAATGAGTGTGCTGGTCCTCCATGACTCAGAATGAAACTTTTTGTAAAACAAAAGTGAACTAACATTGCTGAGCTACTCAGTTCCACTGGTTAGGGGAAGGCAGCACAAAATTTAGAGGTGCCATGAGACATTAGTTATGAAATAGTATTTGACATTATACATTTAGCACTTGCACCAGTTTGGAGTGAAATGCGAAATATTGAAGATGGGCAACAGAGAGAGACAGAGAGAAATTAGAGGTCACATAACATGAACACGACTCACAAAATCATTAACAGCCTTTTGCATTTGAGCCTGCTGAGTCACCTCGATGCCAGTAGTTTGACATTTGGTGTGAAAAGGTGATTCAACACCCATGTGATATGTACGCGTCTCCCAAAGTCTTGTTCTGTGACATGCCACGTTTCTGTAAGATATTTAGAGCTATTCATATGGTGGTCTTTTTGAAGCAGGAGGTCAAACTGTGTGTCTCAACTTTTATAACACTGCGTGATTCCACAGACCAGGCCTAAGGCTATAGCTGCAGTGGAGGGTAAATCCAGCAAAACTCAGTTAACCGTCCTTTCTAATGCAGTTTATAGATGCTGTGTGACTAGGGCAGGGGAACAAAACGATAATGATAATTATCGTGCTATAATTTTCCTGAGTAACAATATAACAAATGTTCAATAAATGTTTCAAAAATTTGATTTAATTCTTTTGAATCACAAAGGAATTATCACTTAATTTTTCTATTAGGATTTTTTTTGTTGAGGAAAAGGGACTGAAAAAAGATTTTACTTCATTGTTTTGAATTTTCTACCTCAGATTTGTGAAGTGATCCATTGTCATAGAGCGTTTGAAAGAACTTGAAAGAAATAATGATTTGACATTTATCGTGATAATTATCAATATCAAATTATATGAAGTTTTTTTTTGTGATAACATTTTTGGCCATATCAACCAGCTCTATGTGTGAACGAAAGTTATAGTTCACTTATTTTTATTCCATTTTATTTTAATTTAATTGTCTGATTTTATTAGCCAGGTAAAGCACTTTGTTTTAAAGTACTGTATCAATAATGTTTATTATCAGAGCGATTAAGTTTATTAAGTAAGTCTATTACTTTTATTACATTATTATTCGGTGTAAGGAGGAAATTTTGTATATAGTGTACATCGCCATATTTCTCTATTATTCTCCTCTCTTCTTATCCCACTAATGTGCCGATCAGATAGTTTGGCTGCAAAACCAAAAACCCACTTAATAGAAATATTATAAGTAATTAGGTTTCACTAGATATAAATATTTCATTCATTTTTATTTTAATGGTATGATTCTATTTAGTTGTATTTTGGTTTCATTATGGCCGGTACCAGTTAATAATAAATTAATTCCTTAGAAATTACTTACTAAAAGGATTTTTTTCATACTTGGCATCAGTAATATTGATTCGTAAATAAAATTTTAAAAATGTAGTGTTGCCCTTTCCTACTTTTTGTCAAAGTGCTAAGCAATACACCCAAATAATTCCTGAATGACATGAAAATAGCACAACAGCATCCAGACCTCCGTCACCTGTTCGACTGCTGCTGACTCAATCTTTTTTGGTCTCTACTTCACAGGTAGATTGTCTTTGGAGGAGTTCATTAAAGGTGCTAAGAGCGACCCGTCCATCGTCAGACTGCTGCAGTCGGATCAGGGAGCCTCTCGTCAGTTCTGAGGACAGAGACAATGACAGACACACACTCTCTAAACCGCAATCACAAACCACATCCATCCAGCTTCCTGCTGTTCAATTGGTCGAGGCTCTGCCGTCCTAACGCCCCCAACAGACACTCCATGTTTTAATGTTTACTTTAATGGATACTTTTCTTTTGTGGCTCCTTTTCTGTGAACTATGACGTGCTTTCAGTTCAGGTATTGTGTGGTATGCCTTGAAAAGGTTTTTACCTGTTCTCCATAAGTGAAGTGCCATATCATATATTTATGCTCACTGGATTACGTGCTCGCAAGTATTATGACTCCCATTATGTATTACACTAGGAGGAAACTAATTACATTAGTTCATATAATTTGATTCAACGGTGTTAGAAAGTGGCTTATTGTTGTTCAGGATGTCAACTGCAGCTTAACAGTTGCTGTTCTTAACAAGTTCTATATGCCTTTGGTATTGCATGCGCTCAGTGAATGATATGCGTTTTCCTGATGATGTAACAGTTTATGTGAATAAGGAGGCTCTGATGGTTTTTATTCCTTTTTATTTTTGTAACAAAAATGTTTTGTTTTCACACAATTGAAATAAAGTCGTGTAAGAAAAATCTACACAAGAAGTCCCACGGTATCCCCTTGTCGTGGACAGACATGATGCAAACCCACCAAGATTCACACTTACTGGTTTAAAAAGAGAAGAAAAAAAAAGTCAGCTTGGACATTGAAGTGTTACTTTGACAAGTCCACATCTTAAAATAGGTGGTTGAAGGTGGCTGAAGAGGGCGAGGGGAACAATTTATGTTTGAAAAAGACTTGAATGAACAACAGAAATGCCACATTCTGAACCTCCCCCCTCCTCTCCTCAGGTGGTGGTGGTTGTATAAATATGCAGCTTCTAACGTTCAGCAGGTCTGTGAGGCAGAGTTCACTCCAGGGACACGACACGCCCCCCTCCCACCTGTCCCCTGTGTGACTGACAAAGATGATGTGAGAAACTGCAGGTGTCTCTCGTGTGTCTTTGCTGGAGTATTTCAGTAACTGGGCGACCGGGCCTCCCATTCGTCCACAGGAGAGGGGAGGCGGGTTGCGCAGGACCAGACCAGATCCAACCAAGCCAATCTGGATCAGATCCCGCCCCTTTGGGCTCATAACTCATCTTTGTCAATGTCATCGTCCAGGTCTATGTCGCTAAGGTCATAGTCCTCCTCCACAGGAAGCTGTGGTTGACAAGGAGTTTAAAATAAAGACAAACTGTTAGCAAAGAAGGGAAGCATGAAAACATATTTTGCTAGACTGTTTGCATGTAAGACATCTTACTAAATTGAGTCAAATAACTACAGATGGACTTTCATTCTGTGAGAGAAGAAACATCTGACCAACTCTTCTGTGTGCAAGACTTTAGTACAGAGGCAAAAAAGAGCAGGGAGAGTTTTTTTGTAATAAGCAGGACAGGCACTGTACGCACTGAGCCCCACACTGGTGACCCAAAACTGATTTGTTTTTTTTTGTTTGTTTTTTTTTTTAAACTGGGCTGAATTTCTTCCAGATCTGTTGGACTTAGTTACTTAGTGTGAGGGAGGTCAAGATGCCTCATGAATTGTCTGCATGATCAACGATCGGTTGGGTTTCTCTTTAGTCCGTAATTTTGGTGTACTATCTTGCAGTTTGAGTAGTTTCATGGTCCGATGTCTCTCATGGCTGCTGTCAAAAGATCTGTTGTAAACTATAGTGAGCTTGTTTTATTATTGGAGTCACATATTATATGTTGTGGCTTGTAGTCCTGACTGAGATTCATACAACAGAGGCAAAGTTACTGAGTTAGCATAACATACAAAATTAAATAAAAACGTACAGTGTTGGCCCAGCTTAACACTGTTTGGTTGTAGAACTCAAACCTGTTAACATCTGTACATAAAGTAAGAAAATCTGACCACTGTGATGCTCCCACTCACCTGTCCATCTTTGCCGTCCCAGGGCTCAACAGTGTGAATCTTGGGCATGGAGCCACCTCCAAATGTGGCAGTTGAGCCACGGCCAACAGAAAGCTCCCTGAAGAGAAGATGAACCACATGAGCGTTGTCACTCAGCTTACTCTAAAGCGTATTTTGATTTGACATTCTTGTAAAAAATATAAAGATCAGACAACAGCCCCCCCTTTACCTGAGGAACTCATGAATGCCAGTCTCACTGAAGGAGCCTTTGAGCAGAGCAAATTTCATCTTGCGTGTGTTGATGGCCGCCATGGCAGGGTAGCCAAATCCACCAATACCCAGAGAGGCCTCCAGCTCCATCTGAGCACCAGCCTCAGTCCACATCCAGCTGACAAAAGGGAGAGCGGGCTGTTAGTCACAGTCGTAGTTAGTCATACGAATACTAACCCGTGCTTGGCCTCTCATACTTACCCCCACATCTTCTTCTTGTACTTATCAGCCATCTTAATCATCACCTCCAGGTAGCCGTTTCTACCTGCCGCACCTTTTGAGATACAAGGACAGCAGACGGTGAGTGATTCAAGAATTAAAAAGGTCTCATAATGCATCCATCTTCAGTGTAACAAATGTCCCCACACTACACAAATGTCCACAGCAGTACAGCTGCTTTTGATAAGCTACTGAATGATACAGCAGTTAATAATTTGGGCTTCTCAAAAATCAAAAAGTAGAATTTCCAGTGAACTGTCATCATATTAAAGATAAACTGCTCAACTGCACTGTAGGGAACCCATAACCCTGCATGTCTGTTCAGTTCAGTTTTTGTTGTGAAATTTAACTTCTTTAAGGTTACATTTCTGAACTATTTAACATGTCCACAATCAGGAGTGTCTTGTCTCACCTGTATCCAGGATGTGTGGCAGGACAGCAATTATACACAACTGACTGTCCTCACAGGTCTTCTTCAAGATGTCTTCATTAAGGATCTGAGACAGACATTTACATTACACATACATTTTATATTGTATATAGAGCTGGCCAAAAATGTTATCACAATAAAAATCATTCGATATAGGTAATATTCACGATAAATGTCAGATCATTATAGCTTTCAAGCTTTAAGGCTGATTTTTGCTCCTGAGTGAAAGTTGAAGAAACCAGATGGTTTATTGTGGTTTTAAACTATTCTTTATGGTCAGACCATGCCAAACAAACACTTGATGCCAAACAGTGGATAATTTCACAGAGGTAGAACATTCAAAACAATGATAAAATCTTTTTCAACAAATTTGTATGAATAAACTTAAGTAAAAATCTTTCTTCAGTCCCTTTTCCTTAACAGAATAAATATCTTGATAGAAAAATTAAGTGCTAATTCATTCATGATTCTAATGAATTAAATCAAAACATTTAAACATTTGTTGAACACTTGTTATAATTTTATTGAGAAAAATTATAATCGCAATAATTTTCGTTACTGTTTTATTGACCAGTTCTATTGTATATAGAGACTCAATAGGAGTTTAACTGGAAGCCGTGACAGCAGTTTTCCCCCTTTACTGTCTAATTTTGGTAACAAGTGTGTCATTGGCAGAACTTTATAACAGCATTTTGGATTTTGTGTTCACACCGCACATGCTCAAAAAAACAAAAACAAAAACAAAATCTTTGTGTAAGTGAACCAATTAGAGGTTGATCATAGATCAAAAGATCATAGTCTTGTGGTTAATGACCAACAATACAAAAAGCTGTTGGCCATTCTGCTCTGAATTTTTTTTAATACCAGCGCTATAAAACATATGTATGTTGCGAATACACAGGCGTACTGACCTCCAGCAGTTCAGGAGGAGGGGCGTGGTCAGAGAACAGATCCAAGCCCCTCTCGATGATGTCGCCACGGGTGCGGCCTCCTTGGTAGTCTTCGGGCTCCTCACCTTTGCGGAAAATCTTGATAGTGGGAAATCCACGGATCTAAAACATACATAACACATATACTGCTTTAGTTCTGTGAATAATTGCCTTGGATTAAGTTGCATATTTTTATTTAATTAGGGATTCAGTATAGGAAATGTGTCTTTTAATTATTCTGTATAAGAAGACAGATTAAAAGACACACTAATGAGAGAAATTAATGATTAGACTTTGAAGTTGGATTTCCTCAGGCAAAATAATTAATATGGTCTGACTTACTCCATACTAACATACTGTAGCTTTTTTTGGACAGTAATAGACATATTCTACTAAAATGCTACAGAGACTAATTCAATGTCCAATTCCAGTAAGAAGAGCGTGGACATATGAGCATAGGCTTTTACAAACCACAATCAGTTCACGAGACTTTACATTTCAAACTTTACAAGCAGGCATGTTTACAAGGTCAAGACCACATATGCAAGGCAGATCAGCCTTTTTGTCCCAAGGCTTAATGGCAGGTGGATTATCAGGTTCACCGGCTAATTTGGCTATTTAAATTAGTAAAAAACATATACGATTGCTAAAACTAGACAAGCTTAGCAGCTGTGGCCAAAATGTGCCACCTTGTATCATATTGTGCCATGGTGTTTGCACTGAGCAGTGATGGTTCTCACTTTTGTTTTGCATCTACTATTATAGTTGTATTGGAACTGTGCACCACTATATCAGATTAGATTTACGGATTCTTACTCACCCCATAGCGGCTGGACACAGCCTGGTGCACAGTGGCATCCACAGCTCCGAGGCGAACTTTGCCCTTGGTCTGCTCCTTCACAACTGTGGCTGCAGCTGCCCACTCAGGCTCCAGGCTATATTACAACAGAAGAGACCGATGCTTAAGAAAAACTACTTTAAGTATATTATTGTCAATCAACAGAAGAAAATTAAGAATTCAAAAGTATAAGTGTGCAGTGTTTCTTTTAATAGGTTTCCTGTACAAAGTGTGCTTCTGATATACTGACATCAAATGTACTAAAATCTACAATCTTTAAATGTAAAAGGTGTTGCAAACTGGATTCACATGGTTAAATAGCTCAGATGTCACTGAACAGTTTTGACAGGGATTAGTCTTGACTGAAGGGTTTTCAGTGAGCTCGGTGGATTATCCTGATTTACTGGAACATTGTTTCCGAAAAGAAACTAACTTTTCAGTCCTGTGAGCAGCACAAACAAAATTCCATTAACCTCTGCTGTAATGGGGTGGCAGAAATCTCAGACATGGTGAGGGGGGTTTCACCACTTCCTAAAGACTGTCAGGCACCAAACTCACTTTTTGCAGTGTCCACACCAGGGGGCAAAGAACTCCACCATCCACACATCATCACTCTCCAGCACCATCTTGTCAAAGTTGTCATCGGTGAGCTCAACCACATCCTTCTTACTGCCACCGCTGCTTCCACCACCGCTCTGTTGGAAGACGGATGAGTGTTACTTAACCACGTTCATTTACGCGTTTGGTATCTCCAATTTGAAATAACTACAACAAAAAGCTACTGCACGAGCGCACTTCTGGATCTACCTGTTTGTTGTAGCCAGAGCCGCCAGACTTGCCGCTCAGCCTCTCTTTCACCAGAGCACGCAAAGCGTTCATGGCTCCGTCCACAATGGCCTGGCTACTGCGTCCACCTGAAGGGGGAAGACATGCAAAGGTCAGTCACTGCAACCCTCAAAGTCTGCCTCCCAACAACTTCAGCAGGCAGAATATTT